TGGATGTACTACTTGTGTAGTATTTTGCTGTACATTGCTTATTTTCAGAAGCAGTATAGTCTGCTTCTCTGAAGGGCTTTATTTCCTAAGCAAAGTAAGCATTTTTAATGGTCACTTATTTTCAACAGTAGTGAAAGTGAGATTTTTTAATTTTTTTTTTTAATGTTTAGACTACACAGGCAAGTAACTCCTTACTAGTAGACGAAATGAATTTACTAGTTAAGTAACTGAGGTCCTGTTCTTTAGTCATGACTCTTATTCTACTGAATTTTCAATGGTGATCCAAATTCTCTTTAACAATTTAATATAGGAGTTAGCTATGTCCTTGCTTTCTCATTTCCTCAACGTATTTTGTCTGGCTGCAGGAAGAATGTATTTTTAAGAGATCTCCCCTCTTACGGAGATTGTATTTATATAGGTTCCACGGTACGCAAATGGTGATAGCCACATCAATTATATGGCTGAATTGCTAAATTAGGCACAAAAAAGGAACAACTAAGCAAAATATATTGCTTTCATTAAAGCTTCCCTACTATATGATTCACTTCAATGGCTTTGCCAATTAAAGTAATTGTCATATGCATTCAAACAAAGCATTTGTAGTAAGAGGTCTTGTTAGAAAAATATTGCAAATGGCTGTTTTATAGATTTATATTATATATATACACATACATATAAATATTGACATGAAAACTTTTTAATAAGATAAAAGAAAGAAAATTTGAAGTGAAGAAAACATTTATATTCATGCCCATATAAGTTTATATAATATTGGTTACGTTCATTTCCAATGTTATACCTGGACATGATGTCAAACTTCTACTAAAAATGGCAAGTATGTTTTGGACTCTGAAAGGCAATGATTTCATTGTTAGTGTGACTCCAGCCAATGAAAGGCAAATTATTTAGCGGGCTACTTGCTTCCCAGCGTCTATTTCAAGAATAAGCAAGTTTAAAAATTCTATTGCAAACAGGACAGATAGTTATCACTGTTTAGATGTATACATATGGTGAAATAACACATAAATTTGTGCTGACATCTAAACGTCATCTAGGTTGCAAGTAAAACAAAAGTCATTTTAATCTTATGCTTGACAAAAACAGGCCTGGTGTGTACCACTACTGTAATTAACCACTTTCAAGAGCTGGAGAAATATTTTAAATTTCACTTATGGATTTTGCAGTTTGTTAAATCCCATATAATATTTATTTAGCCATAACCTATAGTGTTTACACAGAAGGCTATTCTGGGAAATGCTAATTTTTTTTTCTGACTGGATGAAATGAATTATATTTATCAGGAATTCAAAGAACAAGGAATGTTTGGCAGACTGTTTTCTCAGATATAAATAAAAGCATTATCCAAGACAACATGCCTAAATTAGGGTATGTTTAAAAGAGGTAAGAAGGAGAGAACAGACCACATAGATCCCTTCATGTGAAAAGGATACAGAATAAGGAAGAATGGTGGAAATACTATGTGAGAAAATAATAGATCATCACGTATTGTGCCACATAGCCTTTGGTAAGGGCTGAAATTATGGAATAGAGCAGCGTGAGAGCTCTATAGATGTATCCATGAGACAAGAAGGCGTTTATGTGTGCACATGTCCAAAGCATACAGGTCTCAGTCCTATAAATTGTTCAGGCATGTAGAGGACTTGGCTCCAATAGGACTGGTTACCTGTGCTCGTTAAGTGAAAACAAGAGCAAGGGGATGATTAGGCCTTTGGAGTACTCCTGCCTCAAAGTTGCAACAGTAGGCTGAGCCCCTAAATTGGGATAGATTTTGTCTTTCCTTGTTCCTAGGCTCTTCCTACCCTTCCACAAATCAGTCTGATTGTAAACTGTTTATCCTAACATTTTATGTTAAAAACCAGCTTTTCCTCTTTCCAGTAGCCTGTGTTCTGAGATTACAAGTATAACTTCCTGTAGGGTCTACCCTGTCAGGAGTGTCTGCTAATAAGAGCACTGAGTGTAGATCCATTATTAGACTTGAGCTGTTTTGCACCACCCTGAGACAAAGCAGTTGCCAAAAAACAGTTCACACATCCACTTACACCAGGCTGATAGCTAGTTTGCACTGCAGCAAAATGAAACAATCACAGCAACCTCTAACTGTGGTGTTTAATGACAGGGAACTTACAAATGCCAGAAACAGGCAAGTGGAACTATATACCAGTTTAAAAACTGGAAAGATGGTTACGTTGTAATTGGTCTGTAATAGTAAAATACCCAGAACAGGGAAATACAAGTTGGCTTGGACTGCACACGCACATTTTCAAGACAACTTAATGTGGGTTTTTTGCAACATCAGTGTGGTTGGTGTGGCTTAAACACAGAACTATGCCTGGAACATTGGTTATGGTGGTCATGCTGGAGCTGGTAGTAAACAGCATTGTGGCAGCAATGTGAGGAAGATCAGGAAACAGGTCAGGATACAGTTATCAAGATATATGTGCTCTTAGTTAGGCTTGCTTCTCTTTACAAATTAAACTGGTTTTACAAATTGTGATTTATCGGAGATTTAGAAAAACATGTGCTGAGGGAATCATGCTGTTTCTGCAATTAAGCTTTAATAAATAACAATAATAATAATAATAATAATGAGCCTTTACTTTTGAGCCAGGAAAAATCTCTGGAACATAGGCTTCTACTCTGTCATCAAGCAAAAGATGAAACAGAATCAAATTCCAGAAAAGATATATATATTTTTCTGAAGTAAGTAGACAGTAAAAAAAATAATACTGAATTAAGTAAAAGACTGGACAATTCCTGGTCTTTGTTGCACATATTTTTGTATTTTATAGACCAACACAACTGACTTTTTTAAAAAAGCCTCATTATTCAGAACTTCAAATAGACTAGCTCTTTCCACAAAGCAGTCTTTATATGAAAATAACACAGACATTTTTAAAACAGCTATAATCATAAGAAATTATATTTATTGCAGTAAAAGTCAAGTCTCCTTTGGGATGGACTTGGAGTAATGGATGGCTAGGTCTTCTAATTTATCTAAGTCGTGCAGCATTAGAAAAGCAAATTCAACATATTTACACATGAAGATCTGTGGTCATTTTTTAGAGGGCTGACGTGATCATACATCAAAGGGACTTGACCTTTGGAGCTCACTGCCTATCTATCAGTGTGAACCAATGCCTTCTTGCCACTCGCTTCCTTTGGAGACCATGGAAGGGAATGCAGCATGAAAAGTAAAAGGGAAACACAAATGGGGAATATAAAAACACTAGAAAGATGAACAGATCTTTTTTTATTATTTAGAGGTCTCCATTTTTTCCCTACATCCTTTGATTATATACTTGATAGAGAGTAATGAGTCTGAGTGCAGAGTTGCAAACATCAATTCTCTTGCTCCTAAATGGAGGTCAGGAAATGAATACACTCTGTGTTTGGTTTTAATTCCCTTCATCCCTATGATCATATAGCTTTCCTCCCCATAAACTCGGCTAGTTACATCCCAGTTATCAGGTACTCCTACCATCAGCCACCATGAAAAGAGTGCTTGGCTGTCAACCCTCCAATAACTGATACCAGACTTAGATTTCCCTAAAATTCTAGTTTTAAGACTCGACAGAAATTGTTATGGGATTTGATAGGAAATGATCACTTGTTTTGCAAATGGTATAATTTCTAATTCATTTTCAGTACATCCCAAATATTAACTATTTTAGGCACACGCCAGTTAAAATCTCTGAGAATTTTCTTAGTCTTAAACAGAGGCAGAATCGGCACCCAAAGTTCTGTTTAACTATGCTGGCCACATTTACTCTTAATGACCAGCAGATACTAAAGACAATAATCCATAAGGTGTTATCTGTATTTAACATGGTAAAACTTAAGTAAATGTACATGCTACTTCCTAAAGATAAGATTTTAAGATTATTCTTAACGAATCATACATGTTTGTCAGGTGTATGCTATAGGCACAATTAGTTTTCATAAACCTATAAAGTAGCTAAGAACAATTCCATTGCTGGGTAAGAAAATCATCCAAATCGCCTGGGAGAAGCAGAAAGCATCTTTTAATTCAAAATTAATGGTTACTTTATAAATTATCATTTAAGAACTGTAGAACATGGAGGTATAAATAAACCTTCCAAACATAGAGCAGTGATGAATGTTTCTATGGTGCTATGCTATTAAGGTGCTATGAAGCAGCTTTACTAGAAATTGGTACAAGGGCTGTGCTTCTGTAGCTGGAGTTGGAGAGATCTGTGAGGCTTGACACCCATTAGAGCCTAATGAAGCCACCCAGAGGATTGGTAGTGGCCTAAGAAAATATCAACTGTAAAGAGTTTGTCTTCTTGCTAGGAAGAAAGATGTTTGTGAGAGGAGATGATGCACCTTCTCTGATTGTGGGAGGAAGAGGTTCCTTTTGGAAGGGCTGCTTTCATTTTTTTTCTTTCACCCCACACAATCTAACTGACTGGACAGTTGTTCACTTCCCTGTACTTTTGCAGTGTGAAGTGAGGAATATTTTGCGTATTTCCATATGAACTTATGGAAATATCGATTTTATTAATATGGCGGTTTTAATGGCCCTTCTCCCTACTTTTGACATACATATACACTGGCTTGCAAAGGGGTGGAAGAAGACGACTTTCCTGCTTTAATTCTACTTCAGGAATAAGGCAGCTCAAGTGTCTTGGAATTATGAATTAAGAATTGATTAATAAAATTTCCTTGCTCTGTCATGCCTGGGTCAAATTCCCTAGAACCTGGGGCAAATTCTACAGTGTCTGTTTCCACATCTGTCATATACATTGGACTATATATATATAGCACACAAGCATGCGGCATAAGACAAATTGTGCTACTTCTGTGTCATCTATCATTTCAGTTGAGTTCTGTATTCCTTAGAGACTCCTTTTAAAATAGGAAGAATCTTAGAAATTAATTTCTTATCTTCTGCTAAATTACAAAAGTCTGAAGAACAAGCAGACTGTGGCATTTTATATTCTCTAGGCAGCACTACTTACCATCCCCAGAAATATCATTTCCTCTTCTCTCATTTTCTCCGTTTTCTTGCGCTGGATATATCCATGCCAAACCTGAAGTGTAAACAAAACTCTAATGAGATAAATGGGCCTTGTTACAGCTTCCTTTACTGTGGCAGACACAGGAAAAAACAAATAGAGGAAGGAAAGGCACAATATACAATTGAAACTATTACTCTTTAACAGGTTGCCATCTGCTATTTTTTAAAAAAACCCACAAATTTTGAGGTTTGATATCCCCTCGTACTGGTATATTAGCTTCTAAACACAACATCATCAGGGCTCAAAAAGTGTTTAGACTTGAGATTTAGACTGAGCTCCTGTTCTTTGAAGGCTGAATTGTCTGAATTATTCATGTGTAAGGACTTCTTCTGGGATTTAGCAGTGATCCCCTTTTCTCATCTTTTCAAGATATGGAATGAACTCTTTCTCTGGAGATCACAGGAAAAGGCATGAATTCCCTGAAATGCACTGGATTCCAAAGGGATGCCAGAAAGAGCAACTGAGGTCATAAAAATCAGAATGGAAAAACATGTAGGTTATAAAGTCATCTCACATTGCCAGTGTAGGACTCTTTCCATTGATCTCCCATCTAGGGTCCTATCTCATTCTGTTAGGTGGTTTAAAGGTTAAAGTATTTCACCCTACTAGACACCCTGAAAGCTATCATTTCAGAGTGCTTCCCATCCTAAGAGCTCTGTTTCTGCCTACTGCTGTTCTTCTGAACTAAACACTATTATTTGGTTCTGCCAGAACTGTTGTTAAATCAGAGCTTTCACCTTTTGAATGCAAGTGGCAGCATCATCTGGACTTGGACCCATCTGGACCTGAAGCTTAGTTTGTCTGTCTTTCTTCTCTTCAAGGTAAATTCGCTTCATGAATGCTGCTCGACAACGGCCTTGTCGAGCTCGTTCTGCAACCTGGATTATTTTAATGGCTTCTTCAAACGTCATGGCTTTGACAGGTTTCTTCAACAGCACAGCCAAAAAGGAATAGACAAAGCAAAGTATTAGAGTTGTGTTTTGTTAATTGTCTACCTCAGCAAATGAAACAACAAAAGAACTTCTCGCAGAAACATTCTAAGACCAAAAAAAAAAAAATCCCTGTCACAAACAGCAGAGGCTCCTGTCTCAGTGCTATTTTGCAATATCTTGGAAGTTTGATATTTTGAGAGATGTGTTTTTTCTGAGAACCCTTAGGAGAAAGTGAACCTGACATGCTCATGCGTGACCAGGAAAGCCTGATGCTATAATGGGAAGCAAGAACAGCTTTATATGGCTTACGTATCCTGGTGAACTTTATCCATTTGAGAAAAATGACATAAAGAACCATAGGGCTTTGTCCCATTAAAAGGAGAATTTCTTAGGCTATGGAATGTCTTCCTTTTACTTTTCTGAAGTGATGGTTTCTGGATGTGCTGCTGGGACCTCAGCTTTCTTGCTGAATTGAAGGATATGCTGCTCTGAGCCAGCTCAGGCCTGGTCAGCCCAGCATAAGTAGAAGAGGTTTGGGGAAAAATATATCAGAATAGTGCAGCTGGAGAGAGGGACTGCCCCTTCTCACACCTGAGAACTCTTGTTAACCCTTCATGCTCCCCATGGAAAAGCTGAATTATTGCCCTTTCTTGACGCTAATCCCCCGACTGCAGACAGTTCACATTTAATGCTTATATATATATTGTGTAGAGCTCACTATACCATACTTTCAGCAGGGCTTTCTATAACAGATTTAGATAGAAGGACAAATTATCTGCAAAGCAGACTCCTCTGATGAACTCCACTGTCTATGATTTACGTTAGGCTGTTTGTAACAGCACTGCCATGGATACTGAAAAATATCGTGGTCTCTTATACAGCAGTTAGCACTTCCTGAGTGTCCATGGTGTACGCAGAACTGCTGAAAACCCTCTAGCAATCCCAGCAGTGATTGAACTGGAAGTGCAGCACAGGGCACCGGACTCATATTGCGTGAGATTATTTTATTCATGTTTATTGAATCCTGTGCCTTTCTCGTAGCATCCTGGCAAGGGAGACCTGAACCCTGCCAGAGCCCAAACCGTAAGAGCCTGGTGCTCCTAGGTGAGCTGGCTGCACACCAGATAGCCTCATCTGTAATGGATGCCATGCTGAAAAGGGGTGAGCGCAGAACTGTGGGGAAACAAAAAGGCTTCGAGATGTAATGTGCTGAAACAGAGGATTTCCGCAGACCAACATCAGACTACTAGAAGAGCAAAGAATTTACCAGAGATTTACTGTGGAGGCCAAGAGGACTGCAGCTGCCCATTAAAGTAATCTAGCAGAGAGCCTGCGCTCTGTCTCTGCAGACTGCCTCTGTCTGACTGGTGCTGTTTCTTTCCCTGGGAGCCTTCCCTCTCTCGCTTTAGGGGATCAATATGCAGACTTCCCCCACCAGCGCAGTTACTGGCGGAGAACTCATCGTTTGGGACAGTGCAGCAGTTTGACTGAGTAGTCTGATCGGGACTGTCCCTTGTGGCTATAACATCTATGAATCTAAGACATCCAGACATGTAGGCACAGTTGTTTATTTCAGGAGACCAGCAACGACTGCTTGTAGGCAATGTGCCATTTCCAAAAAGTCAAAAGTATATCAAATCCAGAACAGTCTTCACTGGAGTGTTCATGCACTTCTCTGTAATGACTTTTGCTCTGCCAAAGCTCAATTTTCTACTCCTCCTAGCAGCTGCGGCTCTATAGCTGTACAGAAGAGACTGCAGTCATTGTTCAGAGGTTATAAACAACTGAATACTAACAGTTGTGCTGACCTGAACTCTGAGTTTTGCCTGTTCCAGTTAAGAATCCCAGTTCAGTAAAACTTAAGCCCAACTTGATTTCAGTAGGACTAATTAGGTGATGAGAGTTAGCTAGACAAATAAAGCACCTACTAAACTTGGCCAAAGTGCTGCCCTTTCTCTGACACTCACACAAACATAAAGCAGAGTCAATTCGTTTCAGTCGTAACCAGACTCAAGATGTGACTGGATATCATTGCACAGGAAAATTTAATGTTACTTTCTCTGTGTGCCTTATCTGTAAACAGACTTTTACTCCCTAACTGCTATAAAAATACTTTGCACTTCAGTGGCTCATGCATTCAGACATTTGTGACTATAAACTTAAGTTAAGCATGCTATTATGTAGGTATGTGGTATGCTTACCTGTGTTTGCAATCCAGCATTAAGCAAAATCTGATCAAGGACTTTTTCCCTCTGCTGCAGGACTTCAAGGTTTTCCTTAATGAAATACCTTGGTATAGGTACTTCTGTGTCTTCCTAGAGGAAGAAATAGTCATGAGATGCTTTTTTGAACTGCATTAAAATCACATTACTTCTTAATTGAATACCTTTACAAAGCCATTAAATTGGACTGAGATTATTCAATATTTTGGAGTGTTGGGGAATTTGACCTCTGTAACAGCTGCTGAGCTGTTACTTTGCAATTACTTAAGGCCTAATTCAACAAAAACAAATAAATCATCCCAGTTTCTGAACCATGGCAGCTCAGAAATCTTTCTTTTTATAATAGCTCAATTATATTATCAAACTGTTAAAATATTTGGCAGGGTTGCCAGAAATTTAAGCATGATTTCCACTGAATTGAATACCTCTGGTTGTATGATAATCCCACTTTTTTCTTTTTTAAAATCAAAACGAAAAATAGGTCTGGTCTCTCTCTTTTTTTTTTTTTTTTTTTTTTTTTTTTTTTTTTTTTTAACCATTACAAGGAACCAAAGCACAATTCTGTTCATCTACAGGTATTTCTACTGGTAGACAAACTGTCACTGTCTGTGACTGTGATATCTCGGAGACTTCTCAAAATCAGGCATGATTAGAAGTGGCTGTCTTTACTCATTTCTGCCATTAAAAGTTTGTAACTGATTGGCATTTCTACTGAATCTTTTCCTGTAGAAACTCCCCAAAAGTTAAGATGCTGCAGAGCGGCATAACCTGTTCTTTGTATTGCATTGGAGACTGGAGACAATTCGTCAAGAATAATTACTGGCAAGTATATATAATTACTGGGAGGGGAATGTGTCTTCGCGGGTCTGGTTCATACTGGTGCCATGTTCCCTACAGACTGTTTCAGGAACATCTAGAGTATTTCCTCAAGCAAATGATTCACCTGGAGAGATAGGGGGAGACAGGCAGTATAGTTACCCTGTTGTGCTACTCATGAGGAGTTGCACAGTCAAGTTAGAAAATAATATGTGGACACTTGGTCCTTTTGCCCAAGAGCCTAAGACAGGTACAAGACCTGATGCTGCGCTATCAGTGCTCTCTATTCTGTCTGCTGTGGAAACTGGTGAGTTTTGTCCTGCTCGGGGAGACCTTTGACTTGATCCTTTGCAGCCTCAATGACAAGTCTAGTGTGGACAGATACAGAAAAATGCTGGCTGTAAAGAACAAGCACTGCTCCTGCCTTGACACAGGCGCATGGTAAATGTGCTGCTTGTGAGCCTTCCAATTTCTAGAGCAAGAACTTGCAAGGAAGGCTGTGGCCAATGAAAACAGCCACTGTGAACTGCCAACTTAAAGATTTCATTACGAATTCCATCAGTTGCACACTGTGCAGACTGGGACATCTTTATTATAGCAGCACAAGAAAGCTTCCAAGTAGGACTGTGTTTATCCCTAGTGATTTTATCAATGCAGAGGTCTGGTCTGCTAAGGTTTCTAAATATTTGTCTTGTTAAGTTCCCTGTTTGCACCTTCTAACATCCTTGACTGTTGATGGAAATGATTATACATTCTACTTTAAAGAGTGCAAATCGCACTAGGATGGATTACAAATCTGGCTGTCCTTAGGCATAAGAAATCAAGTGGGTTTTCTGGACACCCTTGCATACGATGAGAGGGCTTTTAAGTTGTCAGGTAGCAGTGCGAGTCAGGCAGTGTAGGGATGGTGAGTATGTCTGATGTCTAACCTGAGCTTTAATTACATGTGATTCTGGGCTGTGACTTTTACTGACTGTAAAGATGAGATCAAAGCTATAATAGCAGGGCTGGAGGGAGTGGGAAGTAGGGGGACTATTTCTCTTTATAATCTCTTTTTGGGGCCCAGCATTGAAAGGTTAGGTTTGTGATGTTTATAGTCAAGTCAAATTTGCAGCCTTTTAGCCACTCCCAGATCCACATGGGATTTGTGTGTCCAAATACCTTTACAATTGCCCCAGGAAATGGAGTGACTGAGTGTTGGAAGGCAACTGTACAAAAACACGCGGCACAGAACTGAAGAAAGATGAAGCTTGGCCTTACAGTGACTTAGTAAAAAGCATGTGATATCATTGCATAAGATATAAAATGAGACCACTATTGTGTTCTCTGCCTACAATGGTGCTGGACTTTAGCCCATGATAATACAGCGAAAGGAAGGACTAGAGATATCTTTTCTGGGCAGATTCTTTAAGAAACAGAAGTTATTTGTCAAGTACTGGCCAGTAAAATTGTTTTGTAACCAAGAATGCGTGATTATTTTAGAAAAACACCCATAAATCTGTATTCCTATCTACTATGGAAAATCATATTTTCTTTGAAAAAGCCTGAAATCTCTTCAGTGACCTTTTTTTTTTTTTTAAATATGTCGGTATATCATGCCTTCTTAAAATTAAGGTGTGGTGCGGGAATTTGAATTTATGCTTGTTTTTTAATAGATGTCAGGCATGACTTTTCAGACTTGCCAACTTTTTTGCTGCAGGTGGATTTAGTGATACCTCATGAAAATAGCAGTGTTTAATGATTTCAAAATATGATTTAAGGATCGATTTCCCCGGAGATGTGTTTATACTTTCCAGTATGCCTCCTCATAGTTTAAAATATTTCTTTGCTGCGATTAATGTAGAAGGTAAATAGCTGGTGAAAACTGATGGCAATCACTATCCTAAACTTGCAGAATGAAATACACATGCCATTGCAAACAGAAACATGTTTACAAATCTCAAAATCATGCTGTAATGATTTATCTCATGTTATAACTAGGATCCTGAAAACAGCGATAATTTAAGCCCCAACTCTTTTTCTTTAGAAAAGCTGTTAGCAGCGGTACCTAAATTTGACAATAGGTGGAGCTGTCTGCGAGAGAAGTAACCACCTTTTTGCAGCTAATTTTTCATACCGCTTTTAGAGCACAGCTTCAAGACTTTGCCTTATTGTCATATCCATCGGGTTTAGTGGGCTGTCTGTCAGGGGGCTGCTTTTACATCAGGCAGTCCTGAACCCTGGACACTGAATGTGATCCCAGCTCCCTCCTCCTTTACAATACAAGACTTGTCTCAGATTTCTTATTTTACTAGTTCATTGTACCGCAAACGAGTAGACCAGACTATGCAATATTAATCTCTGGAAGAGGCCTGAGGCCAGGGTGATTGGCAGTGATGCAAAGGGTAGACTGAAGTGGACTGTACCTCGGTTATCAGTTGCCTGTCTTCTATCTAATCCCACGCTAAAATCAGGCAGAGTCAAGCTGCTGTCATTAAGAGTGAAGCTGTGTAAGTTAATAGGACTTCATGTTAGGACACGAGCAAGTGAAAGATCCACAGAGTATGTGCTGCTACGGAGATGCAGAAATGCAACATATTGATCGAGCTTTTACAATCTTGCTCCGATATCTAATGCTCATCATAGATAAAATATGTAAAATATACTCTGATCTTTAACAAAAAGCCATAATTACTTATCACCCAGTACACCAGTGAATGTGCAGGAAGCTAAATTACTTGGTAGAACTTCACAGACTGCAAGTAAATGTGACTGTCCTTAAAATAGGCAAATTTCCTATGAATTTGCTCATAATAGAGGTAGACCTACAGGGAGAAGCTTTAGATCTTCCAGGATATTATCAATGTAATGAAACTCTGAGTTCTCCAGCTCCACCATCTCTTTTTTCATCTCCAGGATCCGGCCAATCACACCATCTAGCACTTGCCGAATCACTGTCCGTTTCTGCTGGTGAACAAGTTGGTCATGGGACATCTCCAAGTTACGGAAGATTTGTATGTATTTGATGTAGGAAATGGCTAACATCTTGAATACTTTCACGCGATCCTTTTCTGGCTGGAGGAACTCTTCTCTTTCTCTCCGGAGCTGGATGTCGAGGTCTTTCTGGGCATCTGTCCACATCTTATTGTAAGTGCTAATTGAAAAGAGGAGACTATGTTAACCTGACATGAAAGGAAGAGTTAGCACACAATGATGCCAGGGCTGTATGTGTGTGGATTTCTCAATAAACCAAGCCTGGAAATGTGAGCCACTATATTTATAAAGAGATTTTAACTATAATGTATTTTTAAAACCATTAGCAAAAGCTTCTCTTTTTGATTGTTTTAAAAATAGGAATCTTAAAATGCTCTTTTATTAATGAAAGCTTTAAAGTTAAAAACTTTTCAACTTTATCCTTAATATGCCTGAAGCATCCTTCAATCACTCAAAGCTATGTATAACCCCCAATAGCGCCACAAGTTGCATTCAATTGTGCTAATTGAGAAGATGGTTTAATAGAAAAGGTATCCCTCCCCAAAGCTCTTATGAGGGGCGAAGGTCTCTTTTAGGTCTCTTCGTGTCTGGGATGAGGACCAATCAATGTTTCTAAAGTGTGTGTTGCTTTTCTGCCTTTCTGAAGTGGTTGCTCAGAGCTAATTGTAGGGTAAGGGTTGTATTGGTGTGTCCTGGTTTGAGCGACGCAGGACTAACTTCTCTTTCAGTCATTTTACTTTTCAGTAAGGTCTCTTCTAATGCTTGGGAAAAATGCATTTTTAGAAGACTCTAGTGTCTGAATTTGGGAAAATATTTACTTTATTAGCCTGCTATGTATGCAGGTTTCAAGGTCTCAGTGTTTTAGAGCTAGGCAGGTGCAGGAATGAGGAGGAGCGAGATCCGGGCACTTGACCCAACCTGGCCAAGGGAATTATTTCATATCATGAACGTCACATTCCATATAAATTAGAAAGTTTGCTGAGGAGTTTTCCCTCTTCTATGATGGCTGTGATCCTGAGAACTTCTTGCCTCAGGGCCGAACCCCTGAGGCCTTCCCTTCCTCCTGAAGCCATAGCACTCGCAGTGTCCGACATTTGCTATCCACTGCTGGGAGTGCACAGCTTCCTACTGATAGAATTGGCTGAATATCATCCTTGTATATTTTATAGTGGCATTAGGATCAATATTGGTTCTTTAGTATCATTACTGTTAATTACTCAGCCTTATTCTATTAAATCCGTTTATATTTCAACCCTTAGGTTTCATTGTTTTTTCCCCAATTCCCCTTCCCAGGTGGGAAGGGATCATTGGGTGATAGAATGATTGTCTAAATGCCAATAGATTCTTGCGGGTTCTTCAAATCATAACATGGTGCACATGCTAGAGCGGAGCTGTGGGCACTGTTTCAAATGTGAAGTGAGGAAAATGATTTAATTTATTTCTATAGCAGCAACTGTTGCACTCCAAGCAATTGCTAAATGTCTGATCTAGTGGCTAAGGGACTATGTGACATGAAAGATGCCACCTAAGGCCAGCTGCATTTCCAGAAGTGATAAAGCTGTTTTCTTGATAGTTTTGGTAGGAACAGGTGGAGCTCTGATGTGAGCATGGACTGGCTGTCAGCAGCGTTTCATGGTAAAAGCAGATCAGTGCCCAATATCATGGGAAATAATCCTAAAGGAACAAAAAATGGACTTTGGACAATGAGGCTTTATTCAGAGAAGAGCTCAAACAGCAGCTTGTCACTGAAAGGTGCTAACATCTGTGGTAGTGAAAGACCCTTTTAGGTCTTGTTCTATTTTGTAACCTCTCTTCGCTAGGTGGAGACACTCTTGGGAGTGACAGGTGTCAAAAAATCTTCCATTTTTGAAAATGCTTCTCTGCCACCATTAGATGATCTTTCAGAGCAGACCTCTTGCTTGTCTAATTAATTCTGACAAGAAAGCTGGGCAGCTGTTAACATTGCTTGTGCTTGATAATAAATACCTAAATTGGAGCTCTGTCAGCTGATCTTATCATTCCCAATCTCAGAGTACAGAATGACTCAAGACTTGGGCTGCAGTGGGGTGGACAGGACAAAGTCCAGCCCACGAGTGCCCCAAGTACTGGGTGTGCGCTGCACGTCCCGGATGCTAATGGGGCTGCTGGGACTCCCTGCAGCAGTCAGCAAAAACACCAACAGTCTGAACCCTGCTATTGAATTTGCACCATTAACTTTTTAACGTGCATATTATACTTTTCAGCTGATCGGGGCTTCTGCAGGATGCAGCTGGTCTTGCTTTTCCTAATGCCTCTGCAGCCCACCCAGGTCCTTCCCCTTCCTTTTTTCCTCCTTCATTTACATCCCATTGCACCATCCAAATCACTCAATTGCAGCAATTAACCCAGGTGCAGGAGATAAACAAAATAAAATGAGCAGAGTGGAGAAGACTGGCACAAACATGACCAGTATTAGCTTTGACCTAACAGCTCTGCTGGTTGATCAATGGGAGTTCTGTAAACTTCCTCTGAAGTCAGGACACGGAAGAACGTGTAATGCTGTGAGGTTCACAGGGCTTTCCAGCACAGAAGGAAACAACGCGGTATTGTACTTAGCTGTGCCTCCTTACAGACCATTTGATAGTGGGGAGGCTATAAATCTTTGAGGAAACCTAGCCCTGTAGGTTGTCCCCACAACCGTACCGCTGATTTATGAACAGTGGGTATCCTCGGGCTAGAGCATTTCGAATGCAGGTTATTGCATGGAGACAACAGATTTTACCGCAACAAGAACCGACTCCACGATTGTCCACTCCAATTTACAATAACCTCCCTTTCTGCCTCCTCTGACTGAGGAATGTCAAGTGGTTCCTCCTGCTGAGCCAGCTAATATCCAGTTTCTTTTCTTATTTTGAATGACTTGAGGGAGGAGGGGGACAGACGGAGTGCTCCTAGCCCTTCAGAGTATGTTAACATAAGGCAATATAGATGGAACATAAACTAATGCTTTATGGAAACAATTATCAGATAAGCACTAAGATGATTGCAAGCACGTTGCTGTGGGTCAGATGTTAAGACTATGGATATTATGGTATGTTTTTAGTTTTTGCAGCGGTGTAAAATGAGGGGCAAAAGAACTGTAAATGATGGCAAAAGAAGGAACAGGCCTACTGGAAAATGAAGTATTGAAGGAAAAGATTTTTGTGGAACTGCTACATTTTCAGCTGTGATAAGCTGATAGCTCCTGTATGCCTATTGTGGTCACGGTGACTGACACCTTGGGGGGGACCTGGCCCTAGTGCTTCAGTTCATTAGGCATGTGATGGGGAACAGCAGACACTTGATAATTAAACAGTGCAAGCAGAAATGTGATTTGAGTGTTTCTTTGGTTCACTCCAATTAAAAAGTAGAGACACATGCACAGCCATTCGTTTCCCCTACCCAAAACAGGGTTAAATAATTATTTCAGGTTTCACTAGTGTCCAAATGGGAGCACTTCTGCGCCAGTTTGAAGGATCAGATGTGCTTGGTGTTTATAGCCCTTTCTGGTGCACTTGGCAGAGCTGCTATAATCCTGAGGAGCTCTTCAGCTTTGGAGACAAACGTGTTCAAGGGTAGTCAGGAGTAATGCACGTCTTCAAGGTTACGTGTTAAAAGCAAAGGACAGGACTGACTCTCCTTGCCTGTTAATTAGACAGCATGCAACCCCTAAGTCCCTATTTGATTTTTTTGCCTCTTTACTCAGTCTCCCTTTGGATTAAGTTGTAAACTCCCTCAAAATTGCTTCCATGCACTGAAGGGGGAGCACTACGCAGCCTTGAGTGTGCTGGCTTTTTATTTACTGTTACTGGTACATCTTGTAGGCTTGTTCCTGTTCTGTAATGGGTAGGTTGTGAGCTGTATCCGTACCTAAAGATGATATTGCATCAGAATTAGATTGGATTAGAGCATCTAACTAGCCTACTAGTGCAGGTAAACAGCAGGACTGAGCATAATTTTCCTATTCATGGTGTAAGATTATTAAATCCTGGAAAAGAAACAAGTCTGTCTCCTGATTTCTGCATGTGTATAGCAGTATAAGCAATACTGCAAATTGTCATAGCAACTACAAAATAGGAGTGTTATGGGGAAAATAAGCAATGTTGTAATGGGATAAGGAAAAAACACATAAAGTGACTTAACTCCATAGCCCCCAGAGTGCTTTCTGGCAACTTACAGCTTGGACGAAAGGTCAAGGCTTTACCTCTTAGCTGATGCACCTTCTCTTCACTGCCACAAAGTAGAAACAGAGTCTAGAACAAGGGTTTAAGATGATTCTTTTGCCATAGAATGACTTCTAGTTTGAATCTTGCTTTTATTGCTCAAAATAAAGCCTGATCTGCTTATGTAGAGTGAAGCTTAGAAAAGTGTTTTTCTGCTGAAGTTATAAAGAGATGTTTAAAATCCTGCCAAATTATGCATTGCCTCATTTTAATATTCCAGGCTGCGTGTTTGCTTAATCCATCTCTTTTTACACTTACACTTGGTTTTGAGTTAGCCTGCTTACTTGTGTTGAACTGGTTTAGAGACTTCAGAATGCCCTTCTTGGAAGGATTTGTGCTGAGCATACAAACTGTCCCTCAGACCACTCTTGAGCCAGCAGTGGAATCTGGCATCAGTGGGGTTACCTTTGTGTGTGCGGTTTTTCTTTTTTCCACCAAAGTGTCTTGGTGTTTTTACTTAGCTGCCAAAGGGAACGCTATTTCTGTTATTCCAGGACATGGCACAGTGTGCACTCCAAGCTGTGTCTGTCTCTGGATTTGTATATGGGCTGAACTCAGGCTTCTTTGATGCTTGTTTTTTCTGGGCTGTCCTCTGAGGACAGAAACATCTCACACTTTCACATGCCAACCATGTAAATCCAGAGTGTAGTACTGCATGGGCTCTACTGTTCTTTTTCTAATGGATGGGCACGTGTAAAGAGACGGAAGGGAAAATGTTTGACTCTGACTTGGCCCAGCTCTCTTCACCTAATACGGAAACTACCGTTTGATTAAATGAGTGCTAAATTGTGTGTGTTTTAAAACATTTCTGAAGCATCTATGCTGCCACTGCAAACTACCTGCATTTCTTCTTTCTCGGAAGATGAGTCTGGGCTGTGCTAGGCGATCTAATAGCGAACGGAGAAA